TGTATACTTATTGCTGTTTAGGGCGTAAGCAAGCAGTGGTGACAGCATCAGCTAGCCACATCTTCTGTATAGTGTGCTACTGCTTGCATATTTCTCTTTTCAAAAGGTAGTTATTCCCACTCCTTTGAGCTCTATTGCATTTGTTCCTCTAAATGAAGAGGAAAAGAATTATCTGTAAAACACAGTTTATCAGGCACATCCACAGGAGATGGCCTGAGGGGCTTTCTTGGAACAACCATGTTCTGGCTTTCCAGTCCTTCATTTCACCATGATGGGATGGCCCAGGTAGCCCATGTCACTTGTGCAGTCACCTCTCTAGACTTTTCCAACCAGGCTGTCAGTCTTGATGTCTTGATGGCCACGGAGGCAGCAGGCTGTGAGACTGCCTCATCATATATTTGCCATCCCTGTTTTGGAAGGTGTTAAAAGCAGCCATGGTGCAACTTCTCAAGCTAGTGTAATCGTATAGATAGTTTACCTATTTTCAAATATGTGCTGTGGTACGGCAGTGCTTGCCGTAGTTAAGCAAAGAGTTAATGCCAAGTTAGAGCGTGGATCTGATGAGGGGATGGTGTGGGGGAATCTCTTTTGTAATCTAGAATCTTATGGCCTTTCTTCAAAGATCATTTCTTTCTAAAGCATTCCCTGACTATTGCCTTTGTTATCCAGGGCTGAAGCCTATGTGATTTCATTGATATTTCATAATGACCTTACTGACAGTGCTAGGAATCAGGCTTTTGCAGCCTGAGTACAGTAGAAGCTGCACAATAGTTTCTTTTCATTAATGAAAGAAGAAATCTCTTGTGCTTATGACAGTCGTGTCTGGTTTTGGAACACCTCCAACATATCTGCATGCCCAAGCTAGGGTGGGAGGTACCTTTGTGCCTTGCACTATACTTAGAACTGCCTTGGTAAGATTATTTTCTTTATACCGTAAGTGAAAGAAAAGAAACATCATTAGCTTCCAGCCTGCTCAGTTCTCTTTTTAAGTTGTTGGCTGCATGTCTTGTATGTGAAGTCTCTGTTCTTTGCTTTTCTATTTCCTGACAGGAATTTACTGTCACAGGGCACGATGCCAGTTATGCGGCTTTCAGGGCTGGAGTTCTAGCAGATCAATGGAGCCTGACACCACTCACTCACAGCCTTGCCACTAAATGTATCGGTATTCTTCTGGTTTTAACTTTCATACTCAAAGTAAAATGTTAGTGTTAGGAAATGCTGAAGCTGTATGCTTCAGGAATTTTAAAGACAGTCTTGGTAACAAGCAGAATCGCAGCAGTACCTTATGTCTATTTTATTTGTCATTGCCTAGTTTGGCACAGCTCTCGGTAGAACAGGCTGCTATGCTGTTGTGCTGGGGGGATTTGGCAGATCAGTGGGGGCAGGAGAGGGGACAGGGAGGTTGTGGTTTGTGCTTGCTTTTGAAAGCTAATCATCATCTGAACTCCCATTTCTAGAGATCTAGTGGCCTGTGAGGTTTTTGGTGGATAGTGTTGTTTTTCCCCCACTGTTTCCTTCCACGTCTGAGCTGTTATAAGCATATGTTCTGATTTCTATGGAATAGCTAGCAATCATTTGCTGCACTGCAAATCCAGTGACAGGCTTTAGTTGACCTACCTTTATGATTGATGTGTCTTGGCTACAGGTGGATAGCCCAGTTCCTCTCTTTCCTGCATGAAGATATTATTTTATCTGGAAAAGAGTTTTCTGATGTTATTTTAAAGGGGAGTGGTGCAGTTATGAAAAGTGAGTGGTTTACGTATAAAGTTACTTATCTATTGTTACCTCTGGACCCTGTTTTTTTGAGAAGCTCTTGCCTATTATTAACAAATATGAACCAACACCTGCCTTAGTTACATCAGTGCTATTGAGTGCCTACTTTTCTGCTTGCTGGAGTACATAATTCTAATGGGAAGGTAAAATCTCATCAAGGCTTTTTCATCATTGTCAATAACCATGGCAAAGGATTGTTGGACAAGAATCAAGTCAATGGTAGTTCTACGAGGCCTGTCAGCTACTATCGGATTGGAATGGTTTTCTCTTATTTAGGTCTTCTAAGGCAATTTAGATAAATAAGGCTTGACCATTGTCTCTGTACATGAGTTGTTGTATGGAAGCTGAAAATAATAACATGAAAACATGGTCCATGGTTGCGTGTTGTTGGGCTAGGGACCATAAAGAAGCAATGTAGAAGGTGACAGCTGTATTCTCTTGGTTTGCTGTCTCACTAGCTCTCCGGTGCACTCAGCCAATTGCCTTCATTGCAGACTGAAATATGTTTCTAATTGAAAGAGGTGGGTAGAGAGGCCTTTGGATGTGTTCTAGCCTCTGATTACATGGTTAAAAAGCAAAGGCACTTCTTTTCAGAATGCTCTGTATCTTTCAAGCAGGAGCAAATGATTTCCTCTTTCCCCTTTTCTCAACTGCTACCATTGACAATAATTTTTTTTTTAATTAATAGCATCTTTGGGAATGCTTGGTTTTGGAATGAAGCCCTAAGTAATAAGCATTTGGTAGCAAGGATAATCAGAATATGTTTTACAGAGAAAAGGCATTCAGCATTTTTTTAGTCTATCATTTTTCAGAGTGTTTTCATCATTTTTCCTTCTAGAAAATCAAAGCCGCAGTGTAAGCAAGCTTGTATAATAGGGCTATTCAGCCAGAGAATGCTATGCAAATAGGCGTTTATGGAGTACTGAAGTCTCCACACTGCATCTACGTTTTTTCTTTCTGCTGCAGAGCTGAGAAGGTTTATGTCCTGGATGGCTCTGCAGGATGGCTCCAGCTAGCTGACCACTTATGAGACGCAGGGAGCCAAGAGTTGTGCTGTGCAGTGGCTGGTGTGCTGGCTGCAGACCTGTCTCCCAATAGCTGCTCCAGTCATGTCTTCAGTGTAATGTGGGAAGGTGCTTGGCCCAGCCCCTTTTCCTGCTGCTATCGCTCCTCCTTTGCACATCCAGGAAATACAGTTATTCTCTGTTCACTCACACACATGCATTAAGTGCTAATCCAAACAGCACTGACATGAAGCTCTGAAAAAAATTTGCAGAGAATATCAAAAATGATATTTACTTGCTGACAGCTCAAATGGAGAAGGAGGAGTGTTGATAAGAAAGAGCTGCTCTGGTGTGCCTTGGTTAGACAATGAAACAAAGGGTGAACTGTATGAAATGTTTTCATTAGTCAGATCTTAGCTCCTGGCTAGTGCCAGATGTTGTTGCACCTCGATAGATGAGGAATGTGCCTCTAAAAAATTATAGAGTATTAATATATGAGCAATTTGGTCAAACAGCTTGGTCAAATATTAGGGATTTTCTCCAAAAAATACAGCAGATAAGTTCCTGTTAGGGTCTTATTCCCTAAGCCAAAAATCAAAATGAAGCACACAGCATAAAGGAAAAGGAAAGCATATCCCTACTCTAATTTTAGTTTCTTAAAATGAAAGAGTTCCCCACCACCCCCGCTTTTTTTTTTTTTTTTTTTTTTTTTTTTTTGATCGTGTGTCCTCCATGAGAAATCATCCTCTTATTTCAGGTATAATTTGCCTGGTTTTATAGAAAGATGACAGTTTGACCTGTTCGGACATGATTCCTAATAGAAGTGGCAAGCTCATTTCTTGTGTCCTTCTTGCATGGTCAGAGTGAAGGACTCTAAAAATGCCATTTCTGATCAAAGATGATCTGTTATACATTTTAATTGCATGCTAGACTAACCATTACTGTAAAAATTATTGCTCAAGACTGGAGACTGAAGAAGATCATGCTGTGTAATCTTTAGAGGGGGAAAGACAGATTAGAAAAAAAATAGCTTCTCACTGCTAATAATCTTAGACTGATTCCTTTGGTTTTAGGTTTTAATGTAGACACAGTGTTTATTTTAATGACAAACAGCTTTCAGTCCACAAGTCCATTCTGCTCATCCTGCTCACTCGGATACATCTGACCAATATTCCTCCAGAAAAATATTGCAGATTACTTCCTGCAAGGAGGGTGTT